TTTTATGTGAAATGGAGGGAAACTGATTCACAGTTTTCTTTTTTTCCTCCAAGAAGCGTGGCGTTCGCTCAGATTCAGCCCCCTGGTGGCAACATGTGGTGGTTGCCTTTTTGATGGGATTACATCTGCACGTTTTTGGGACATGTCTCTACAACTTCACACATCTAGAGACAAAAATAATATCTGCCTCTGCTTCTTTGTAAACAAAGTGAAACTCCATGTTCTTTGATTGAGATTTATTTGTGAAAATAGACTTTCCAAGTATCTCTTCTCAATTAGATTTAGGTCTGAACTTTGAGCTGAAAACTGAAACTCTTTCCTAGTCCGAAGGCTTTTCCGACTTCTAATCAGCTCCGTCCATCTCCTCATCGACTCTTACCAATTTCCCCATTCCTGCTGAAGAGCAGCATTCCCACATCATGACCCTACCACCACCGTTTCTCACCTTTGGAACGATGCGTTCAGGGTAGCAATATTCTAGCTTTGCCCCCTTGACGCACTGCGTCTGCTTTAGGCTGTTTACTAACTCAGGTGAAATCAACTCTGAAACCGCCTGAAGCCTGGCTCAGTGGAAAAATGTTTTTTTTTTTATCTTTAAGCAAGAATAAATAAAATGTTGCCCCTAGTAACATAAACAGTTTAAAATTAAAACAAGCACATTTATGTAACAACCCTCTGCTTTCCCTTTGATCCAGCTGTTGCATAATAAAGACTAAGGCTGCGATTAAGATCATATTCAGAAAGTGTGTGCTGGCCTCACAACATATTTTTTTATTTACTCACTTTAAAGATTCACACACCAAAATCTCATCCTAAGTCCTTACAATTATTCTGCCTGTTGTAGATTTATCGTCCACTTGATGGGACTGGATGAACAAACTTCAGATGTCACTTCAATTATCAACCAAAAGGCGTGCTCCGTGTTTACGAAAGTAAACATGGATACTTATGATGAACCATATCTTGCGATTTTTAAATTGTTGTCCAATCTGGGCTAGCGCAATAAAAATTTAAGCCTCATTATCATCGCTACTATTGTTGTTTTTCCTCCCTCTTCCACATACCAGTACAGAGAACAGTGACGTTTGACGAGTATCAATGGCGTACAGGTCGAATCAATGCAACCTGGCCATGTTTGAAAAGATCCGATGCATATAAGATTTAGGACCACATGTTTAAGTGCCCTGGGTCGCATTTGTCAAAATCTGATTTGTTTTGTTCAGATCGTCATGAAAAGATCAGATATAAGATCAGGGCATAAGAGCAAAAAAAAAAAAAAAA